ATTTTTCATCTCCACTATTGTTGACATCATCATCTATTTTTATCACTCTGGAGAGAAATCAATGGCCACTCTTTCACGTTGTATTGGATATACATTTCTGTGAGAATCAATATTTCAGCGCCATGTAAAAACATAGAAAGCTTCATTGCTTTCTATATGAACGCTGGTATGAAAAAATGTCTCTTTAATGTTAACTGACATATTGAATTCTTATTGAAATTCAATTCTATAGCTCTTGAAATAAATAAAAAATCTTTTGAAATAAGCTTATTTATCTTCATTATTTCAAGGGTAATTCACATCTCTACTTTTAACGTCAATGACAACGTGAACGTCTTTTGACGTCATTTGTAAAATGATATCAAGGGTCCTTTTCTCATGCCTACATTCATATGACTATTATGCTGAGTACAGATATAACTTATAATTAGAGGCAAATTAAAATTGTGGATTTATGCCTTCACTGTAAAATCAATTTACAGCGACAATGTTCCAACTTCTATATAAAGAAGTGGTATTTATATACAGCATTTTCAAAGTATATTTTTCCCTTTCAGTTACCAAAAAAAAAATTCAGGGGGTTCTGAAGACAAAAGTTGGATTAATATAAAAAAAAATGTTGTGACATATATATGCATAAATTTATGAAAACTTCCTTTGACTGAAAAAGAAACTCTCTTCCCAAACAACAAAAAAAGGTTAAGCTGATAATGAAAATTTAGAAGATAATGGAAATTTACACAAGACCCATAAAAAGCTACTGGATTTTCCCAAATCAGACAAAAATTATGCAGAACTTATGTCAGTTCCACACAAAACTGCTTTTAGCAGTTATAAAACAAGCTGAAAAATAAAATGCAAAAAAATATTTCCACTAGTTTTCCATTTTATGCCAGTTTTCTCAATATAGAAGAAACATGACCTAAATTATGCCAAATAAAGTACATATCATTTTTTCCTAGAGCAATAAGTAAGGGAAGCAACTCCTATCAAATATACCGACTGAGTTTATAACAGCCTTGTCTTCTCCTGGTAGAACAAAATTGGAAACTCACCAAATACCTTAAATGTCACAAATAATCAAGAACCGGTGGTAAAACGTCAGAAAAAAATATTATAGTGCCAAAAATATTTCATATATATCTGGAATGTGAAACTAAAAGTAAATAATACTTTGCCAAAAAAATCTTATAAACGTTTTTGTTGAGATATTACACTAAGTAAATAACTCAGCAGCCAAGTAAAGTTTATATTCACGTTACCTTGAATCATTCTATTTGAATTTGAATAGTAATGATGATATTGAAACTTTATGAAGCAAACATATAAAACCATGTAGGATTTTTACTATTATTAGATACCTTAGTAAGAATAAAGTAAGATAATTTTCTTCCAATTTAAAATTTATTATTTTCATTGGAAATCTACTGGAATAGACTGTTTAAGAGCTGCAACGATACAGTTACTTAAGAAGCGTACTTCAATATGCCACATCTATATATTGCCAGTAATTTTGGAACCTGGGAAATTAATTTTGCCATTTTTGAAATGATCATTCTTGATCTCTATGAGTTTTGCTTGTACTGTTGCCTATAATTAATGAAAAATGTTCCATTACAAGTGTTGACTCCCCTGCTGAATTGACACTGGAAAATGAATTCATGCAACATACATGATGTAGGCTACTTGGCACTGATAATTTTTTGTTATTTTGTCAAATTGATGCGGGTCCAGGTGCAATCCTAAGTGCTTAAAGGCCCAACTGGACTATAAAAGCCAGCAGATGGCGCTAGGGCAGGTTTCTTATTAATTTTATGCATGCTTCACTTCAGGGACCCTTTTTCAAAGATTTAAGATTAATTACCAAATACATTTAAACAACACTTGGCATGTATGTAGGCATAGATATTCTTGATATAGATTGACCAAAATTATTCAAAATAAAACTTTGTTAAGTGTGTTTCTGGAAAAAAATACTGGCTGTCAAATTTGAAATTTGAATTTCCATGGGAGGAGCCAACTGATCATTACAGGTCATGAACCTTCAGTAGTAAACAGATGCACGTGGCAGTGTTTATTTCAGTGAGAGAGATTTGTAGCAGACGATATATATTTCAGGGAGAGAGATTTTCAGCAGACGACACATTCGAATGCTGAATACATGATAAGAAAAAACAATAACTTTTACTGATCTTACTTTATCAAAAAGTATTTATATCCAACAAATTTACAATAATCCATTAATCTATGATTTTTTTTTTAATTTCAAAGTACTGATTAAACTTGTATTTAAATGGTTTAAACTTCATGAAAACAGTAAAAGTAACTTCCAGGTATAGTTCATTTACACAATATATTTTGTTGTAAGTATCTTGTAGTCAAAATAACATTTCACAAATTTTAATGTTTATCATTTGTATAAAATTTTTATATATTAATAGTTTAAAAAATTTTTTAATTCCTGTCAAGATCATTTTTAGCAGTTTTTCTTAAAAGAAATGTCCCATGTAAGGCACATCTTTTGGATTTGGATATAGTTGTCTGGCTTGATGAAAAAAAACTGACTTCAAAAATAATATCTGGACAAGATGGCTTGATAATGTCTTTTAATTAATCTGATTAACCTGTGAGTTATATAAAACATCCATTAAACCTCTCCTGTGTAAAATCAGCTGTTTTGTTTATATTCTCTCTGTAGGTTAACACTGCATTCTATTTTTAGCTCATGGTTTATAACAGACAGTTTTACACCACTGATTAGTCACACCCACAAATACTCGCTGCCGCGGCAGCGAATGTTGCCCCTTTAATGCCACATTTCTCTGTAACATGGCATTGATCGCAAACATTCTGTCTTCTAGAACTTCAATGAACTATTTTTCCTATAATTTAAAAGTAACTGTCACATACAGTACATAGCATTCTTTCCTTATAGACTATTTATCTGACTTAAGTCTCTTTTGTCTAGTATTATAATTCATTGTGTGACATCATCTATTAGCTATGTTTCTGGATGTAGATATAGCTTATATTTTTTGTTTATCTTTGAAGTTAAGAAATATATGTGACTTATGTTTCATTGACTCACTATAAAAACCTATAACCTATGTCCGCAATCTGGTACATGTAATATAAAAATCAACTACATTGTGACAAAAAATCCCAGGTTGTGTTCCTGCATAACTAACTTGCCAAAAGACTTAAGGAAATTAATGAATACCGAGTCAAGTACAGGTGTAAACAAGTAGCAATTTGTGTTATTCCTAAAATTTTAAAGCCACCCCAAAGACTGAAAGAGAACAGATAAAGATCTGTTTTTTATTTATCTCTGTAATTCAGTATTTCTATAACTATATAACGGTGACATTCAATACTGTTATATATATAGTATATATATAAATAATCCAAATTTTTATAAGTCAATATAATTGCCCAAAATTATACAATACCAACCAAACCAACACTGAATTCAACAGTCATGTCCATAGAACATTTCTAAATTATTATTCTGAATAATAAAAATGCGAAAAGAAAAATGCTAATACCTCTACTGAAATCAACAAGATCTTGACCTGTGTTTATATTTTCCATTATACAAACAAACGCTTCTGCATCTTGCCTTTGAGCAAAACAATTGTACTAAAATGTTATCAACACAGTTTGACAGATCAAACGCTCCAACGGTAACAACCAAATTATTCCGATTATCCAGCTTCCATGACGCATGCGCAACAATTATATGTTAAACGCCGTCATATAACGTTCCGTTTAGTTTTGCGAAAATTTTGTGGGTATGAACCATCGTAATTGCCTTTTTCCCATTTTTTAATTTCAGTTAGGATTGATTTTTGTAAGTAGTTATGATATAATTAAGTAGACTTCATAAAATAGTGATATGAAAAATCATGTTAAACTGTTAATTTATATATTTTCCAAAAATCCTTAACATCCAGCCATTGGCTGGACCTGTTACTGAACATGCCAATTATGTTTCTCGTTATAAATTAGCTAATAGCTTGAATAACTGCAAGGATCATATCTCAGAAACGCTTTTGTGGTAGCAACTTGAAACTTAATTGACGGACAGATCTTATTCAGGAGTGCAGCAAAACAAGAATGATAACTCTACTTTTCATATTTTTTATAGTTATTGCCATTGGTTGTTTTTCATGCTTAGTATTTGTCTCGAGCGTGGCTTGAAGAATTGGAGAGATGTCATTGAATGCAATACTCAGAAATGATGATATGATAAAATCTATCATATTTTTTTTAGTTTTTAGTTATTGTGCTTTGTTATTTTTCAGCTTCCATGAAAAATATATAGTCAGGAGCATAACTTTTAAGTATATGTAATATCAATTTCAAACTTCGTAGGTGGATAGATCCCATTCAGAATTGTATTCCACAAGAGTGACAACTTTACCCATTATATAATCTTTACTTCCCTTTGTTATTTTTCCAGAGCTTAACTTGAAAGGTCTTGGAGATATCAACTTGAAATTCCATAGGTGGATAGATCTTAGTTAAGATACCAATAAACTCAGTCCCCTACAGTACCTAGCCACATAGAACCATTAGTAATGCACTCAGCAGGGCAACAAACAAAAAAGTTTATATTTAAAGCTAGATGCATCATTAGTCCTGTAGTAAAATTGGAGGTCTTTCTAGTCTTAAGTCATTTATCTTTTTCTTGAAAATTGAAAGTCGTTTCTATGACTTATATGAAGATGTTAGGTTGTTCATATTATAGTGCGTGTAATTTTCAGCAATGCTGTTAATTTATGCTTTGGAATTTTGGTCATAGGGTGATTGTTAAACAACAACTCTAATTTTCACTGTTAACACTTCATCTGCTGGAGAAAACAAAAGTAAATAAAAAATGTAGTTTCCTTTGTCAGGGCCAGTCTTCATATCTGACCAAGGTACATGCACACCAATATAGTTTTGCCAGTGTCGAGGATGAGGGTTTAAATAAGTGGAAATTCATAAACAACAATCTATTAGCAGTTATATGACATATTTTAATTCAGATTCAACATAATTCTATCATAAATATATAACATACATGTACATAAAGTCATTCCAATCCTTGATAATATTATAACCATAAAAAGAACATAATATAACAATTTTCAACACAACACTAATCCTGTACTGTGTATGTGTAAAATATAACATTATTGTCCAGAAACTGATCTAATGTTGATTTCACACACAAATAATGACAGAAAACAAAACTTTGTTTTACGAAATACAGAAAACAAAACTTTGTTTTACAAAATACAGCACAAGTTAGATTTTGTTTTCTTACATTGATCATAAACAAGGTCAACAGAAATAAAACAATGGTCCATACTGTTTTGCAAAGCCATACAGGAATATATACTGTGAAACAGACATAACTGTGCAAAGCAAATAAAATACAATATAACAACACACTGATCATAGGAAAAACTACAAGAGTGCCATCATAGCCCTATATTGCTCACCAGACTATGAAGTTTTCTCTTTATATGTAAATATGTTAGGAAATTTACACCAACCAAAAATTAATTATATCAAAATCTGACCAACAGATTTAACAAACTGTATATTCTGTAGAAAATACTTCAGAAGGTGTTATATTTTCCAGGAGTACATTGATTAATGTACAAATAAAAATTTTAATTTCATCAAAATAAAATGTTTTGTTTTTGTGTTATTTTTCTTCTGAATTATTCATGCTGGAAGCTCAAAATGTGTTTATTTCCTTGGATTTATAATTAACTGTTCTTGGATACTCAGTTTTCTTTTTAGTTTTCCCATATCTACATATAGCCATATCTATATATAGGGAAAAAATCTACCCTATAAGGTAGCCATGTTTTTTCTCGAATCAAAATAATCAAAATATATTTAGTAGGTGGTCACACTAGTATAATTTCTGTGAAATAATTAAATTTAGAAGGACTTAACCCATTACTGTACAAATTGCTCTCCTTCTATGTTTTTTAGCCAAAGAGTGGATGAGAAAACATAGCCACGTAGGAACTTATGAAATGAATGTCATCAAAAAGGAAAGTACAGTTGCCTTCTGTTTCTGTAGCCACCTAAGAATCCAAATGTTAGCACACTTAAAGGCACATTATGCCTCAGAAATCCTTTTTATATATTCTTTAAAAATGTCAAACATGTGTTTAATAATGTTTTAATAATGGATTCAGAGCATATTCAATGTTTTTCAACTGGCGAAAGTTGCGCTGAATGTGCAGTAATACATATATGTTGTAAAGGTATCAAAATGTAAACAAAGTAGTAGTTTGACTTCCATACAAAATACTAATTCACTATAATTATACCCATTGTTAATACAGCAAAAGAAGTAAAAGATCATTTATGTGGTAAATGAGTATTTTTTAGAAACTTAAACAAGATACATTTTTTCTTCTTTTGACAAATAAAAATGATTTCATTTCTGAGGCATAATAGGCCTTTAAGACAAACAAGGGACAGCGAGTGATCACAATAGCAAATCTAGAGCATGATGTGCTCTGGTAAGCTCAAAATAAGGTAGTACACATACAATGTATAAATAGGTCAAATGCATAAATAAATCTATCCCAGGGAAATGTAAATTTACCTACGATATATGTGTGAATGTCTTCATACAATGAGAAGTCAATGTATACAGTATAACTTAACCAATCCCAATCTTAACATACTAAATTTCTTAAATGGACTTGTCCAGCTTACATTTTAGGAACTGTCCATTATTAATCTTGGGCATATCAAGATGAAAACTAAAAGTCAGTCAACAGTACAGAGCTTGGTCAGACTGCATGGATGTGCAGGCTGGCCTGGCTCTATACTGTTAACATCTTTTCCAGTTCCTGCAGGCTAAGGACTGATGTAAATAAGATTTCCTCTGTAAGTAATTATATAAATACTTTACAAGAATTGACAAATAAACTTTCATGAGTTGGATTGACATACACTTAAAAAAATAAATCATTAAAGAAAGTTATATTAAATACATCATGTTTAAAAGCGAGACTTATCGAAAAATAAAGTACATGAAAATAAGTCACTATCCTTAGCAATGCTTTATTACACATGACCATGAAGTTCAACTTAGGTGATATTAAATGAAGTTTAACAGATCAGCCGTCTAAAATCCCCTCCCCGTGCTAGATTGACCCCCTTTTATACAAATATAATATTTACAGAATATTACAAAGTAATATGTATAATTATGCATAGCACTAACATACAGCTTCCATAATAAATAAAAACACATCTTGCACTATTCTAGAAAAAAAGAGTTTTCTCTCTTCATGTTGGAAATTTTGTCACAGGTTCAGTTAAAGTTACTAGGTTAAACAATAAATGCAATTTTACTTATACATTCAAAAATAAGGTAAATCAATCTCATAAAAGACAGTCCTTCTTTTTGCACCTATACATGATCTTGGGAAAAAAGCAGTGGAGCATCAGCTAGGACCTTCTTTTAAAGCTGCATGTTTCAGACGTGCCAAAATATTTAAAGAGAATCAAACTTGAGAAAAATGTTCTAAGATTTTAAGGAAAGTAAAATGATTTAAAATTTATGAGATAATTGACATGTCTTTTGTGATTAATAACTGATTTTGCAGTATTTATAACCATAATTCTACTGCATGACTAAAGCAGTAAGGGGTATTTTTTGCATATTTTTACCTTTTTTGGTAATTTTCGTGGTTTGTAAGTGCTGTTTTCAATGTGAAAATCACTTTCTTTGTTCACTTCACAATGCTTTACTTTTAAATATATTTTCAAAATTTTCATGAAAATTTGCATGAATTTGGAGGCATGCTGCTTTAAGACAGTTTGAATACTATCACAGTATCTTAAACTAAATACAAATCATTTCAATTAGTGAAGAAAAATAATTTCTTTTAAATCTTTTTAAGTTTATCATCTTCTTTAATCTAGCTAAGTCATGTTTTCATTAAAAATACTCTGTTTCAAAAATAAATCAAAGGTAGGGAAGGTATATCTTATTTTCACACTCATCTCTGGAATACTGCCATTTTTCTTTATTGTAAAATATATGTACTTTAAAGACTGGATTTAGCATGAACCATTGTAACAGTTGTTAACTCTTGTGTATTAAGGGGAACGACTATCAAAAAACAATTTTGATCAAACATTTTTTTTTTTAAAAAGGGGCATAACTCCAAATTATAAAACTTATTTTAGAATACAGTTTTATATCTTGCAACTTCATCAACTCATGATAAGCAAAAATTTCAAGTTTCAAATTAAAGCCTTTTAAAATATTTGAATAATTGGCTACATTAAAGTTATGCATCATGACAACAATGGTGTTGCAGCAATCATAATGGCTCAACTTTTTCTTTAAAAAAAAGCATGCTGAAAAATATTTTCTTTATTCTGTTACCAGAGACCAAACTGTTTTCTTAACGTAACTTAATCTATATACATGAAAAAAAGAAATACAAGAAAATCTTGAATTTCTGTTCAGGAAACTATCTCTAGTTAGAGATAAAAATTGTCTTTAAAAAAATTAAGCTATCCGTAGCATGGGTCCAGCTAAATATTCCATCAATACTATTACATGTACACTTTAAATATAGATACATAACCTGTATAAAATACCATCTATTACACACTCTGTGGTTCCCATTATTTTAGTTTTTATTTTACAATGCAAGTTCTGTACACTTTATATACACTTTTCACAATCTCGAACTGTCTATGCTGGATTTGTGCATAAACATTACACACTGCTAGAACACACGGAATCTGTAGAAAGTACACATATGCCAACTGAAGTTCCAGTTTAAAATCAATGAGAGTACATAAACAATTATCACACCTGTGACAGGAAATAGCAAGGCTCGAGTGTTCTTTAAAAATGGTAACGCTGAAATTGAAAAATGAAAAAAATACATGTACATACGGTACATTTTAAAATAATTTCAAATAAAAAGTAAGTCGAATTCGTAAAACATCATTGCTTCTCTCTCATTTTTTAAATAAATTATTGAAGTTACAGCAAAATCCCTAAATTATGAAAGTGACATTAGTCAATGTAAATTTGGGGTCAAGGTCATATTTCAGAGGAAATTTTTGTGGTTAGAAATGTTGAAAACTGTACCTTATGAAATAAAGACGTTGTGGCCTTTATTGGCAGATAAGACAAAAATATAATGTCTCCATTTCATCAAACGACATAAACATCAATACATACTAGCATTTTATTTCAAAGAGTATGGTTATTGTTCCAGATTACAGTTGGGGGTTTTATGCCAATTTATGTCATTGCAAGTAGCAACTATAAATGTCATTATTGGCTACTTATTAGCTTATAGGAGTCAGGACTATTATATTAATGGTATATAAGTCACAGTGCTATTTTTTGTTGTTTGTTTTATTAGGTTTTATGTCACACCTACACAGTATAGGTCATATCGCGACGTTCCAGCTTTACTGGAGGAACACCTCAGGTGTCCTTTCGTGCATTCTTTATTAGGCGTGAATGGGCACCTGAGTAGAACCACTGACGTTTCTTAAGCTAACTGGATGGCTTCCTCACACAGTGCTATAAGTCAATATTTATATTTGTTAGTATGCAAATTTTTCTCATAGTAAGAGTGGACTTAATTTATGCAAATATACATCAATGCCATAAGATGATATAACCAAATTTATATTTCAGGGCTATAAGTAAATTGTTGGTCAGTCTGGGCTCTGTACCAGAGGACATGATAGTGGCAATTGTATTAGTCAGAACTGTAAGCCGATCTATCTCATTGACAGTCGTGGCTTTATACACTACTTAATATGTAACCAAATAATCTTGAGTCAATTTTAATTTTATAACAGTCTTACATCTAGAATACAATTATGCTTATGTAAAGCTTGAATAATTGCAAGTAGATTTATATTATCATTATGAACTTACCACTGTAACCAAGAAATGTGATGTATATATAGTAACAAATTGCCACCAACCACAGTGTATTACCAAAGAATCGACCAACAAACCAGTCTTGGTTTATCACAGCTGTAACAAAAATTGAAACATTAAATAAATTACATCATAAAGTATAGTAAAAAGTCTTTCAATGCAAGAAAAAACAAAATTTTACAGTTTTACTACATACAGTAAATTCCACTTGTAACAATATTGCTTATAACAATGCTGTTTCCACGGTCCCGACTTTTGTTTCAAAATTGGTTGCCTCCTGGATATAACAATATAAATTCAGCGATTCCCTTAATATTGTTATTGTACTGTACTTTTAGTTAAAAGACAGACCTTTGGAAAGATTAAAACTTAAGTTACATAGATGATACTGAATGAGTGTAGGTTTAATACTAAATTTATTGAACGAGTTGAATAAAATTATACTACACGAGCCTCTGGCGAGCATAATATTGTTTTATTCAACAAGTTCAATAAATTTAGTATTGAATCTACATGATTATAATACTATTTCTTTAATGTTTATTAAGCTCAAATTTGATATTTTAAAATGCTGATAAATGCTATACGGTCTCTTTTTAATTGTAAAATAAACATCTTTTGCATTTTTGTTCAAGCTGTATGTATCATGAAAGAAAGATCTTGACTTACAACTTGTGTGTAAAATTTTATATCATTTGCTCACTTCGTGCTTCCAGAATTATTGTATAAAATGTGATAAATAAGCCCAAAACTATTTAACTCAAAATCGCATTTAAACTCACAATTTTATTATCTTTTGAATATCTTATGTTAAGTGCTCCAGCTGATCAATTTAAGAAATTCAAATTTAATGTTTTTTCCCCCGCTTTTGGACCTTTGTGGAGTTGCTTCAACTTAAGAAATGATTTATGCAAAAATAAACAGCCATGGCATAATCATAGAACCATACTACAGTTGTTTGTGCAGCCAAATCATGCTCTATACATAATACCTCTGGCTGACAAATTTTTAACTTGACATCCCTAAATTAATAATGGTCTGCTGCAAAAAAGGAAGCAGGACAAGTCCATTCTTCAGGACAAGGGTAAACAAAATGACTTACAGTGTAGAAAAGCCAGCTGAAAAAGATGAAGAATCATAAGAAGAGGGAAGAAGGCGTTGAGATGAACGTCAAAAGCGTAACCCCACTCTACGTCCTGACCTTTCGGGATCTCTTGACCTCTGGGCGGCGATATTACCATATATCTGTTTGTAATAAACCTATCAAAAACAAATCATTATAATTATTAAAACTGATCTGACTATCAATAAAGATCATCAAAAATGTCATAAACCTTATCCTAAAATAAAAATGATATATAAAAACAACAAAACTAAATGGAGCATCTACGGCTGAGTGTTTAACGTCTTTGACTTCAAGCCACTTCCCCTTACTGCTGTTCTAGGTTAAAATTTGGATAATTTCATGTGAGTTTTGCTATCTAGCAAGCTTACAGAATGTTGGTGGTTCTACTCAGATGCTCACTCATGCCAGATATACAAGGAGGGGCACCTAAAGTCTTTCTCCACCAGTATAAAGCTGGACAAAAATCACCATATCGCTGATACAGTGTTGACAGGGCCTTTTTTCTTTCTATAACAGGGGCCGGTATAGGGCTGCTTCCCCAAAGAAAATTTCTTTAAAATCATGCAATTTTCCCCAGAAATTGAATTTACATCAAGTTTTTTCTTCCCCTTTTGCAAATATACCATGTAATTTTTCCCCAAAATTAAGGGCTGGGCTGCTTCCCCAACTTGTGAAAAAAAGCCCTGGTTGGTGCAATTTAAAACCAAACAAACAGCAATTTTTATGTTATATCATTTACAAAATATGTTGGGAAAGGATATGGGCATAATGCAGCAACAAAATTATCAAGTTTTTAGACATAAGCCAATCAATATCTGGATATCACCATTAATCTATTGGAACCTAGCTGGATAGGTAACTCACATACAAAAATTCATCTTCAAAGATACTTGATATTTAAACAAAAGCTTGGAAGCCCGAGCAATAAAAAAGCAGGCGTAGACAATTATTTTCAGAGTCACTAGTCCTGCAGGACAAGTAGCTTCCATTTCCATTGTGCTGGCAACATTTTTCTACTTGTCCTGCATCAAGTACTCTTAAATAATACTTGTAATTAAGAGCGGACAAGTGGAATTTTCGATCTCTGAAAAGACTTTACTTTTTACTTCAGAATGTGTTTTATATACATGCTTTGTAGGCATTCTTACCAGAACAATGTGGCAATTAGTAGTCCCACGCCTATACAGTCTACAAATACCACCCAGAGTATAAACTTGAGAAATCCTAGAAAATGTAGACCTAGCACCACAGCAAATCCAATTGATGGAAACTGGAAATTAAACAAAGAAAAATCTAGTGACTGTATTCCTAAAAACTTTCACAGATATAATATATCTCAATTTTTATAGGATGTTTCACGTTTTTAATAAGGATGTGGTTTTTGCGGGAACAAACTTTCGCACAATATATATATATATTTTGACAGCGAATTTCGCAAATATTTAGTCACTGTGGTAAAGAGAATATATATGTTACTTCATATTACTAAGATCACAGTTTGTTACTATATTTGTTCTCTCTAAACCAGCAAGACATGACTAAGGCATACAATATTGATACTAGAAATGTGTCATCATGCCACGGATGCCCCCGCATGCAGCCAAAATTTCAGATGTTATAATATTTAGTTCCAAATTTGTTTGCACAAATAATTTTTTTCATTTTAAGTTCAAAGCCCTTAAAACTTTTCAATGTTAACACAAACCATTTTCATACAATGTTCAAGGCACTGAAATTATTCAGTCTAAACCTTTTGAAAATAGCATATTTCATATTTGTAGCCAAAATAATGGCTACATACATTTCAGTGCTGAAACTGAAAGTTCAAAATTTTTACAACATTCAAGAAAGATAAGTTTGTCCAAAATCATTGAACCACGACCAAATTCAAACTTAAACTGCTTATTCCTAAGATGTATCTATATTATTTTCAAAGTGAAAGGGACATAACTCTGCCAAAAGTCATCGAACCATGACCAAATTCAAACTTGACCTGCCCATTCCTTTGACATATCCATATGTCAAATTTGAGTAGTTGGGTAGATAATGAACAGAAACTGTAAATTTCATATTATTTTCAAAGTGAAAGGGGCATTACTCTGCCAAAAATCATTGAACCATGACCAAATTCCAACTTGGCCTGGGCATTCCAAAAATATATCCATATCTCAAATTTGAGTTGAATGTGTTGTACCATTGGGAGATAATAAACAGAAACTGAAAATTTCATATTATTTTCAAAGTGAAAGGGGCATAACTCTGCCAAAAATCATTGAACCATAACCAACTTTGAACTTGACCTGCGCATTCCCTTAACGTATCCATATGTCAAGTTTGAGTTAAAAGTGTTGTACCATTGGGGAGATAATGACCGGAAACTGAAAATTTCATATCATTTCCAAAGTGAAAGGGGCATAACTCTGCCAAAAATCATTGAACCATGACCAAATTTCGAACTTGACCTGTATTTTCTCACGACATATCCATATGTCAAATTTGAGTTGAATGTGTTGTACTGTTGGGGAGATAATGAACGGAAACTGAAAATTTCATATTATTTTCAAAGTAAAAGGGGCATAACATCTGCCAAAAATCATCGAACCCATGACCAAATTCGAACTTTGACCTGTATTTTTCTCATGACATAATCCATATGTCAAAGTTTGAGTTGAATGTGTTGTACCATTGGGAGATAATGAACGGAAACTGAAAATTTCATATTATTTTAAAGTAAAGGGGCATAACTCTGCAAAAATCATCAAAACCATGACCAAATTCGAACTTGACTTGTATTTTCTCACGACATATCCATATGTCAAATTTGAGTTGAATGTGTGCAACCGTTACTAAGATAATGAACGGAAACTGATGATGACGGAATGACAGAATGACGGAATGACGGAAGGACGGAAGGACGGAACAGGGTAACACTTTATGCCCCGGCCATTACATGGCGGGGGCATAAAAATCTTTAAACTTTACCTATATTAAATTTAAATAATCTACTTGAAAAAGAAACCAATTAATGCATGATTTTCAGAGAAAACTGAAATGTACATGTAATAAGGCTAAATCAACAATTATAGATTTGAGAAAGGATTTTAAACCAAGCAAACATTACATACTTATCAACCAAAAACTCAGCAAGACTAGGAAAGCAGGGTCATCTCTTGCCCACTGGTCTTTTGTGTCTGAAATAAGATATACAGAGCACTTATTATTAAGTGAATAACTCAAATTTCCATAGCTGAAGGTGAAAGAGATAAAATGTTACAGTTAGTGCTTGAAACAAAACAAAACAATGCAATACAGATATTGAATCTGTTCAATTTACAAACCTATACATCATTAGCATGTAATGTTGGCATTTGTAAATTGTATGAATGGGTGGATAATTACTTTATGCATATACACAGTCATGTATTTACATGAATTTTCAGAAAAGATTACTTAAATTAAGTCTTTTGTGAAAACTGATTCAGAATACTTCAAAGAAACCAGGACACTGAATAATGTTTCTTACTTACTTTTCCTATACTGAAAATTTCTGTATCTGAAAAAGGCAGAAAAGTTTCTTTTAAATAATTGAAATAAACAAACACAAACATTCAGTAATTATTTATTGCATACATTTCGGCTATATGCCTTCATCAGTGCAAAACATAAGGAAGCGACGTCATAACGGAACACGCGTAAAACTTTATGGCGTTTAGCAGCAAAAATAGGGTAACATGTAGAAACAAATATTTATGTTATAAATAAAGCTGGTATATGTATTAAAATGGATCAATAGTGATACAGATGTCTATCAGACAGTGTTAATAAAAGTAAAATAATAGACAAACATAAATATATTCATGTTACACATTATAAATCAAACAATACTTTATTATTTGGTCCATTTGGAATCATAGTATTTTTTTTTTCTAAATAATTAAACACATACAGCAAGATTTTCAAATATATAAAATATCTTCTGGAGGTATGCTGTTTTAAACTATTATAGATACAGTGTAAGTAATTTTCCTTGAGCCCCTAATTTGAAAAAACCTTTATACATGTATATAATAATAATTGTATGCTTGCCTCCTTATTTCAAAATTTGAGGTATGTATAACTTTTAACAAGTCAATAGGAACACTATTTATCTTCATCGCTAACCTATAAAACTATTGTAAATACAATTTACAAAAACTTTATCTTACACTTTTTGTGGCGCTACAAACAGATATATCATTTGCCAGAATGCATATTCAAAATCCATCTGTTTAAATTTTAACAACCGCCTCAAATATTTCTGTCGTTTTGCATTTGCCGATAATCTCAGTTCCTGCCTCGCAGGGTCCTCTGTCTTGGAGAAGTATGGTGATGATGGGGGAGATGCATGTGGAGAAAGTGTCGGTGACATTGTCGGAGAAACACTCCGGTAACTGAAAGCATCTCTCTGACTGGTCATTATCAAACCTGAGAGAAACCTGCTTAAACAAAAAGACAGAAAAATATTAAACGAGTATAAATACCATTATTTAAATACACAGATTCTTAAGAATTATTTTTTAAAAAAATCTTGCAGACTGTGAGACATTAAATTATCACAAAAGAAATTTATGTTATGTGTATTGATAATATTGTTAATGCCAAAGATTAATGCAAGATATATTGGCTTTGCTGATGTTTATCTAATTATAGCAACATGTGCAGTTACATGACAGGTCATAACTCTATTGGGTCACCACTTCATTACACCAGAAACTTTTTTTCTAATTAAAAATAAAAGTATATATATACATGTATGGGGTATCCGTTTGAGTCTTGAAATGACTCTCTGACCCTTCAAATTTCCAAAAGGCCAGATTTGACCCTCAGGATTTTAACTGGAGGGTCAAATTTTGTTAAAATCATGGGGATTTTGCCTTGTAGTCGGTCAAACTTAGTCAAAATGACCCTAAGGATTTCATGGCTAGTGAACACCCTGTATAATATATATTATAATATATAATCAAAATCTTTAATGGATTATGATTATGGGCCCATATGGCTAGCCACTGCCTAAATAACAAAGCTAATTTCCCAAACACTATCTTTCCATTAACAAGTAGCCTAATTTATTCAGCATGAATGGATTGACCCATTTTACAAACTTTTTCATACCGTTGGAAAAAGACTGCCTGTCCAAAAATTATCTCGTTGTCTCTGACAAGTCTTATTAGTTGGACTAATAAATAATTAATGAATGTGATTAGGTAATTCATTATAGAATTAGTCTTTATAGCGAGCTCGACGAGCTGGCCCGAAGGGCCTGCTAGCAAAGCGAGCTTTACTGTAACGCGAGTACCTGCTAAGTGATGGTTTTGAAAACTTTCGTCCGAAGTACCGAATTGGACACATCGCAACTTTTCGAATTACAAGATAACGATAAAAGCCCATGTACTCTGATTGAAAACGGAAGCGTAGACTGGTGTCCTGCGCACTTATATAGGAACCATAATAGAAAGGGGGAACCAGAATAAACGGAAGCAGCGTATAAAATACCGAATGACAATTTTAAAACGGAAAATGTAAAATAAAAATTAACGATTATTTTAAACTATCTTACGGTAAAAGAAAATCGAGCTCGCTTTTTTGAGCTTTGCCCTTTTTCATATAACATAAAAATGTAAATTTTTCAACTAAATCAATTAGTGTAGTATTTACATCATGTTGGGGGTCTTGCGCGGCGGTGATTACTTGCGCCTTGAGAAATTTCCTTTCGTTTGGTTGTTTGTTTATGCTGTCGCTAGAATTTTTCACCAAAATTTGGACTTGGACTTACTTTGAGTTATAACAAGGTAAGAAAGTTAAAAAATATCTGTCAAACATTTTTTTCATTATTTTCGTCATCCTAATTTTTTATTCATAACAGCCCCCCGACTATTTTCCCATTATAATTCTAGTTTAAATTCAATCAGTTCAAAATTTCACGTCCAGTAAGTATTTAAAAAAATATCACATACAGATTTTAAACAAGATTGCAACCGCTTAAACGGTGTAAATTTTTTTTTCCCCTTTGCAAATAAAGATGTATTCATTTTTAATCTCCTGCCGATTCCACGCATTTTGTAAAATGGAAGCCCTCCCGGTTTTCAATTTTTTTTCTAGGAAGCGTAAAATTACTAAAAGGTGTCAACACAAAGATTTAATTTGTTAACTGGGGGTTTGTACTGGGTGTGTAGTCAAGGCATTCTTTGAAATTTATGGTACAGAAATTGAACGATTTGGACTTGTAGTGATGTTTTTCAGGTGTCCCAGGGTGTGATTAAGTGTGACAGTAAAATAAACAAACCCTTGATGTAAAATAAGTTTGTGTTACAGTTTTTTTTTTAAAACAGTTTAAAATTAACTTTTCATTAATTTGGAAATCACAAAAATTTATAATTGAAGTACTACTGGGGACCCATAAACTTTAAAAACAAGTACCAATACGTCATTCATTAAATGCGCAAGATCACCGGGGACAATTGAAATGTTGGATTAAACATGGTGGTAAGTGTTTACAACTTGTTTGCAATTCTGCAGTTAATTGAGTATTTTCCAAAAAAAATATTTGGGTGTCATTATATGTCTTTATGATTTTTGCAAATAGGAAAATAATTTTGATTATTTTGTATTTATTTGAATTGTAGTAAATTAGCCGATAAGTGTTTAGGTGCGCAAGATTACCGGACAGCATCGTATTATCTCTAAGAACAAAAAATTTCCTCATCCAAAATGTTGTATCCGACTACTCTACACCTTTACAAACATGACTAGGCACCAGTTGTTGATATTTTACTCGATCAAACATTAAATGAAACATTTCCTACCTTGGGTATGATATATTTTTAACCAGTTTGAATCTAACAATTCACAACATTTATTCAGAAAAACGTTAAAATAACCATGAAAATCCTGTTTTGCTGTCAAACGGAAGTTTACTTACGGGGTGCATACATAGGCCATGAGAATCGTTTTCGAATAGGTCAAAAGCAACTAAAAGTAGTTTCTAAAAACAGTCTGACGGTCAGATTACAGATCGATTGGCTGCAAAAAAGAGCAGGGAACCCCGTAAGATTCAATATAACATCAGGTTATTAAATGAAAATGTGATGTTTACAAGTATGAAATTTATTTAATAAAACTAACACTAAACTGCAGAATTGGTTTTTAAGAAAATGAAGTGATTCATAAGTATCTAGGATAATTTTTCATGTTTAGAAAAGTATTAATTATGCCATCAGTTGAAAATTTCAGTTAAAAGGGGATTTTCATCCTTCGGGACATTATTTTGTGAAAAATTTAGTCGGTCAAACCTGTATATAACAAGATCTTGCTGTTTTCAAACTTATTTTATGTTTTTTTGTTTGTTTTTCTTGCTATGATGTGTTATAGTTAAAAAATAATAATTAATGCCAAAAAACAGTTAATTTCAGTTAATTTTGACCAGGGTCTTTCTCTTTTTAATTTATAAGTATTAGTTTTATTTTCTACGAAAGTCATATCTATGAATATGACTCATATATTTTCATTTTTTCATTTTTTAATATTTTTCAGGTTTTTTTTCTTGATCTGATAATTGATAATGTTAAAATAATTACACATGCAGAAAATCGTTAAATTTGACCCATAAATAAAAAAAGTTATAAGTTATATTTGTTGCGCATTCTATAGGCGGATAGAAGATATCGAATATTAATAAGACTCTTTATTTTCAAACTAATAAATCAAGTGAATACAGTATAGCTCACGAAAATAATTTTCAAAATAGGTTGTTTTTGAGATTGGCAGTTTTTAAATATCATATTGTATAATATACGCCTGATAGCATTTAATGCGAGATGCTGAATTTAGCAACATAAAATATAATTTGGATCGTGAATGTGTAAATCTTGTAAATAAGTGTTTCTCCTATCATTGAATTAGGATTGAGCACCGACGATCTATATTTAGCTTGCAGCGACATGTCAGCTTTTAATTATTACTACCGGTGTATATATTAAAGGCCTTAAATGCTATTAGTTATATTTTACTGTTAATTAGTACCCAAAATTGTCACACATGTTCTAAATATCCATTAATACAATATTATAAAATATATGTTTACTCTTCCTACAGAAATAAACTTTTTTTTATGTCTTCGGCTCGTTGAAATATGGATATGATATTTGACACTTAAGTCTGATGCGCATACCCTCATTTTCATTAATGATACATTTTTTTATACGTCTAAAATTTTGTATCACTTCCAGAGTTACCAATTTTGCATCAAACTTCAAGTGTATGGTCATTCAAAAGTCAAAAGCCTCCGTAATTCCCGTTGGTTGGAGGACTATAATCACAATTAGCTGGTGCATTACATACACTTGCAAATGCTTGCATATTATTTCTTTCAGATAACTTAAAATGAAAGACTGAATATTTAATGTTTCTTTGTAGGTCTATGATCAGAATTTGTGTTTAGACTCAATCAAACAGAGTCTGCAATTTTCATATAATTTTGTTGCGATTAATGCTTCCGAGGGATCACTTCGATTCCAGATTTTTATACTTCACAACAGCAGGTGTCAAGTGCTGTGTGCAGCCGTACTTCACCTCAGTGTTGTTATATTTTTCTGTTCCTTCGGGATCATTGATGCCAGCACTATTAAGTGTTGAGAATTGAGTACCGCTCAAGCTGGTGCTAGGGGGCGTGAGGGATGTTGCACTTATTCATTATCCATCATGTACAGACGCAATCAAACCGAGTCTGCAATTTTTATATAATTTTGTTGTGATAAATGCTTCCGTGGGATCACTTTGTTTCAGGATTTTTAGACGAAGCAGTTTTAAGTTGCTTCCTTAAAGGAATCAATGTTATTGTGCTCATTCTTTCTAACATACATGTACTATATAATGCTTCGAATGCACTTTTGTTTTTATATACAGAATTAAAATCCGATTATTTTCATAGAATTTATTATCCTAATGAACAATTGGCCTGTAAGAGGCATTTGGTTCTAGCCGTGAGAAAAGTGCAGACAATGATCTGACGAACAATCTGTGCCACTGTTCGCTATTCAGTTAAATTAGCACTTATTTTGAAAATGATGAATGGTAATGTCCAATTTGAAAAATGGACTATTCATTTTGGATATTAAGCGTAAGCGTGGTAATGATTAAACAAATTAGTTTCAGCTTTGACTTTGGCTTTAATAGATTTATAAGATATTCAAACTGAATGTTTAAATGGGTGATTCGATACAATACGAGTATGCAAGGCACATTTAAGCAACTTTGTTTTAAATTGGATTAGGTAAGGGCACATCAATCTGAATTCTTATTAAACAAATAAAATGGAAGAGTTTATTACAACATCTGAATGTTTTAATTTATATAGTTGGTCTCAAACAATAGAAAACCAGTAATCATTGAATGTAAATTTCCATGAAGCTGGCCATTTGTTCCACTGCGAACCCAGACACTATCCCCTTGGTTTAAATCGATAATCCATTCTTTGGTTGTAGACGTGAATTCGTTATTAGTAGTACTGTCAGCATAAATATCGAATAAATGCACGCCTTCTTTCGTCAGTACTAAATAAAATTTCTGTCCATTCTCGATTGACATGGCTAGTGACACCAAGTATGCGCCTTTGGTGGGAGCAGTGATTACACCGGTGTTGGAATTGTAAGCACTTCCTATGTTTGCAAACACTTTGTCGAAAATAATCGTATCGCCTTGTCTAAGGTCAACTTCACTTTGTGATAAAGCGGCCGAAAAAGCAATATTCACAGGGTTACCTGTAATGTTAGAAAATGTTTTTAACGTAAGATGTAATTTTCTAGCAATCAAGACAACAAGAGATTGTCACAGACATTTTAGTAGCCCTCTACCTATGCTGTCATATTCTCTACCTCAATTAACTCATGTAAATTCACTTTTAAAGAATTTATTTCTGACACATAACTAGGAAGAAATTATGCAAAAATTAGGAAATTGACATTACTTTTACATCATGGGAACAAATGTTAAAGATCCTGTAACTCAAATTTTTTAAGGTTTTGTATCATTAATATGATGCTCAAATGAAGATATAGCAATATTGTAAGGTCCAAAAAGCATTATTTGTAAAGATATTACCGAATGTACATTTCATGTAAATAAAGAGAGGTAATTAGAAATTTATTTTCGATAAAGACGTAACCAAATTTTTAATGCATATATTTTACAGATTATTTATTATGCGAATAAACATTTGCAGTACATATTTAACATATTCTTGGAGGTTTGGAAATTGTTTTAGAAGAATAATTGTACACGTTTATAAACTTTCACTTAAATGTTGTTACATCATTAATTACAACATACTTTAAATTTAATGTTATGAGTAATTACAGGATGTTTGTAATGTATCAAATTTCATTGTTGTTGTTTATTTTAGTAATTTCTATAACCATAGCAACCACATTAAAAACATTTATATGCCATACATAATCTCCATATGGTCCTCTATCTACATACTAAGTATCTTCAGCCTCCCCTTTGAACTTTTTGTGTTATAGCAGGACCTAGATTTCTTGGTCCCCGATCTATATATTAAGTATCATCAACTTATCTTTTGTGCTTTTTAAGTCCCTCTGTCCACATACATGTATCAAGCATCATGAACATAGTTTTTGTAAGTTTTAAGTTCTCATCGGATCAAGATTTCTTTGAATGGACGAAATGACAGACATATAGACAGACGGACGGATGAAAAAATGAAAAAAAGATGATGGTGAAAGCGCGATGGTACGATGGTGAAAGCGAGATAGTACGGTGGTGAAAGCGCGATGGCACGATGGTGAAAACGCGATGGAACGATGGTGAAAACGCGATGGCACGATGATGAAAACACGATGGTGCGATGGTACGATGGTGGAAACGCGATGGTACGATGGTGAAATCACAATGGTACGATGGTGAAAACGCGATGTAACATCGCGCTTTCACTATCGTACTATCGCGCCATCGCGATTTCACCATCGTACCATTGTGATACGATGGTACGATGGTGAAAGCGAGATAGTACGGTGGTGAAAACGCGATGGTACGTTGGTGAAAACACGATGGTACGATGATGAAAACGCGATGGTACGTTGGTGAAAACACGATGGCGCGATAGTACGATAGTGAAAGCGCGATGTTTCACCATCGTGCAATAGCGTTTTCACCATCGTACCATCGCGTTTTCACGATCGTGCCATCGCGTTTTCACCATCGGACCATCGCATTTTCACCAACGTGCCATCGTCTTCCGGTGGTCATGCGCAATGCTATATTTTAATCAACAATGTATGCCTTCTTATTATTGAACCGCACACCCTTTCTATTTGTGTATCTTTTAGATCTTAGTGTTTGGAACATGAAATTAACAAAAGGCAATCACTCAAAAATTAAAACGAAGTTGTCATCCTTGTGGACTGTACATGTAAAGTTTTAAGTCGATATATAAAATAAAGCAAGAGAAAAAATGCAAACATATATATAGCATATAACCATATATTAAATAGTCGTTGATCTATATACAGTATCACATCATAATTTTTTGTAAAGATAACAAGTTTTATTATTTATAACTAAAATTAAATATCAAGTATTCTAAACTTGTTTTTTAATATCTACCTTAACAGAATCTGACATCTTTCTGTATGTGTACTGATTATACTGACCGAAAGGCGATGGTACGATGGAACGATGGTGAAAACGCAATGGGACGATGGTGAAAACGCGATGACACGATGGTGAAAACGCGATGGTACGATGATGAAAACGCGATGGTACGATGATGAAACACGATGGTATGATGGTGAAAGCGCGATGGTACGATGATTACTTAATCCAAAATCATCGAACCATCTTGAACTGCTGATTCCTTAGATGTATGTATATGTCAAATTTGAGTTGAATGTGTACAGCCATTTGGGAGATAATGAACGGAAACTAAAAATTTCTGATTTTTTTCAAAGTTCATGAGGGATAACTCTGTATGCTATCATCAAACCATGACCAAATTCGAGCATGACCAGTGTATTCTTATTACATATCCATATGTTAAATTTGAGTTGAATATGTACAACTGTTGGGGAGATAATGCACGGAAACTGAAAATTTCTTTCTTTTTTTCCAAGGTAAAAGTGGCATTTCTCTGCCAAAAATCATCAAACCATGACCAAATTCGAACTTGAGTTATGCCCCTTTCACTTTGAAAATAATTAGAAATTTTCAGTTTCCCTTCATTATCACCTCAAGGGTATTACACATTCAACTCAAATTTGACATATGGATATGTCAAAGGAATGCACAGGTCAAGTTCAAATTTGGTCATGGTTTTGATGATAGCTGACAGAGTTATCCCTCTTGTACTTTGAAAAAAAAATCAGAAATTTTTAGTTTCTGTTCATTATCTCCCCAATGGTTATACACAGTCAACTCATATTTGACATATAGATACATTTTATAGATACATCTTAGGAATAAGCTGTTCAAGTTTGAATTTGGCTGTGGTTGAATGATTTTGGACAAAGTTATCTCTCTTGAATATTGGAAAAATTTCAGCACTCATACTTTTGTGGAAATGCATGTATTCATTATTTTGGCTACACATATGCTATATGCAATTTACTAAAGGTTAACACTAAATAGTTTCAGTGCCTTGAACTTTGTATAAAATGATCTGTGTTAACATTGAATAGTTTTAAGGGCTTTGAACTTTAAATGTGAAAACAAATTTGGAACGAAATATTATAACATTTGAAATTTTGGCTGCATGCGGGGGCATCCGTAGCGTGACGACACATTTCTAGTTGTATTTGTTTCAGTGTTTGGGCAATTCAAAATACATATGCAACGTACTGTATGTCGATAAATTCATACCTGGTTGTGGCGGAGATGTTGCAGGAAGTGTTGGCGAGAAGGTAAACGCACGTTTTCCCATTGTTTCTGTGAAGAATACAAAAGAGCGATTTGAAACTTCTGACCTAATCTTTCATGAAGAAACATTATTTGAGTTGAATTACCATACATTATAGTATTTATTTCCTTTATTATATACATATTCATATTTATAAAATATACATTTACATATCGAAGATAAAGCAGCTTGCTTGTCAGGTATGAGAAAAAAGATTGTCAAGGCAGAGTAACAATTAAAGAACGTACCCATCGACAAATCCAGCAACACAGTGCCACCACACTAGGGCACCGAATGTTCCATTATAATTTTAAAAACGAAATTATTAGCATTACAGAAGGACTGGCTTCTGTCAATAAATATGTTATCGGTTATAATAAGATTTATAATACTGCACGTTTGTAATGGCGTTTTTCATTTGATTATCGTGACGTTTATATACATGTAGTGTTATATAAACGGCTGCTTAGATATTTCACTTTTTTATAAAAAAGAAGCTTGCTGTATTGTAAATTCGTTATAAAGATTCCTGATAAGTTATATCGCCGTATAGAACCGGTTGTTTTAAATATAACACTCGCCTAGCGTCTCTGGTTATAAACAGCCGTTTATATAAGGTCATATAGCTTGTCGAAAATCTTTGTAACTGATAAAACTTTAGGTTGTTTATAGGCTATATGTAGCATGCATACTGCTTATATGATTCTTTATCTCCATATTTTCTTTTCCGTGTAGATCCGTCGTGACTTCTAGATCTGCTTTGTAGTCAATCTCTTCATTCAAATCTGTTTTTGGCTGATTTATGTCAGTCTGTAATATATTAATGAAATATATTTCTTATTTGAGAGTGACATCAACTAGCTGAGCAAAGGGCAAATTGATTTAGCACATGACATAATGTTCTTTTTCAAGGCAAAAATTGACGAATTGAATATGTTTCTGAAAACTGTAAAGAAAAACAAGAAATCAAGGTGTACAGGAAACCAAAAACATATATATACTTTTTCGAAACCCCTTCTCCCTCCCTTACTAATATGTACTAAACTAAAACCCCTGACCCCCGCATTCCATACTTAAACATGCATAGCAACCTTATACCGTTCGTCGGTAATAGGACAAAACTAACAAAATTTTGTTGGTTGATAGGATAAATTACTCGTACCTTCAACACTGAAGTGTGTAGTTTCTCATTTTGTAGTTGATGGATCTCGGATACAAGTTCTTTATTATCGTTTTGCAACATTTTCACTGTATCTAGTAGGCCGTCCACAGTATTTTCCAAAGCCAAAACGCGAAATTTCAGATCACGTATCTCTGAAGACTTATCTAGCACATTTTGAGCCTCTTTCAAACTCTTCAACTCCGTCATTATTTCTGTCAGTGTATTTCCATCAACAACATGTTGGCCGGTTGTAGACGAAATCACCGTTAAGACAAAAATACAAGCAAGTACGTTCTGTAATTCCATCGTGATGATTGAAAAATGTGCTAACAGTGCTTTACGACAAAATGAAAAGACACATTAAGTGTGGTTATTTGTTCACACGATATTTAAGATTCGCATTGTCATTTGCTGATAAGCTGAAATAAAGTAGCTAAATAAAAATGTTAGATAAAACAAAAATTGCATAATGTAAGATATCTAACTAATGTCCCTGTTTTGTATTTTTATTTAAATTAAAGTTTATTTTAGACATGAGAGGGCACTTAAGCAGTACTGACTTTACGTAGGCTAGCGGGATAGCGGCATTCATTCATCTCATGAGATAATATTATTTTAGGACCCGAACCCATAGCGCTGAGAGGGCAAGTGATTTAGAGTATAAAAATGACCTTAAGACTGTTGGTGTGACCTAAAAAGCAAAGAAAATGTAATCTTCCGGGTTTAGTTTTGTTTGTCAAATATAATATACACATGTATAACCAACAAATTTAATAGACGGCGCAATTTTATTCAGAATTATGCCATAAACAAGTCGTACAAATAATGTCTTAAACAACACTTGTAACTAACACAGTTGTAATGGTAAAGTTAATCATTTCAAACGTATCGCTTCATCATCAGTGTTTTCAAGGCCTTTATCTGGTGAGACTTACCAGAATCATTTATTGTAATAATTTTCGGGATTCATGCTAGCTGTTTTTGTGTTGACCTGAGGTAAATTTATTTGCAGTCAGGACTGCAGCAGTTAACTTGTTGTTTCCTTATATCAGGCTAATTATGGTGGCTTTATGACGGGTGGGAAAAACGCTGATGCAAATTTCAACAACAGCCATGTTAACATGGCCATACCCCGCCGAATTTGTTTGCTCATTAGAAGAATGTATATGTAGTAGAGCAGTAAGAGGTCTTTAATTTGGTAATGAAAACTGATGGCTGAAGTGATTACAAGTTTGAAACCTATGTGAATACTGATGGCTGAAAATAACTAAAGGCAATTACTGAAAAATAATGCAGAAAGAGTATCATTCTTGTGTGCTGCACTCCATCTCAATGAGATCTATCCACCTATGAAATTTCAAGTTGATACCTCTAACACTTTTTGAGAGAAGCTCTGTACAAAAAGCAGAAAAATAACAAAGGGCAATAACTCAAAATTTATAAAGAGTAGGATAGAGTTATCATTGTTGCGCACAGCATTCCTCCTCAATAAGATCTATCCACCTATGAAGTTTCATGTTGACAGCTCAAAGACTTTTTGAGTTATGCTATACTCATTAAAAATTAAGCATGAAAAATAACAAAGGGCAATAACTCAAAAATTATGAAGGGTTGAGTTATCATTCTTGTGCATTGCACACCTCCTGAGAGAGATCTATCCACCTATTAAGTTTCATGTTGATATCTCAAAGGCATTTTGAGTTATGTTCTGGACAAAAAATTAAGTTTGAAAAATAACAAAGGGCAATAACTGAAAAAATATGAAGGAAAGAATTATCATTCTAATGCAATGCACTCCTCCTCAATATGATCTGTTAACCTATGAAGTTTCAAGTTGATACCTCAAAACCTTTTTGAGATATGCTCCGGACAAAAATGTGGGACGGAAGGACGAACGGACGGACGGAGACTATTTCTATACATGTGTATCCCCCGCCGCCTTTTCGGCGGGAGATAAAAAGCTGGCGAATCTAACACGTTGATCACACGTAGAGATAGGAAATATGTTGAAACGTGTACCGTTAACATATATTTTATTTGGGTTGAGGACTACTAGTATTTTCAGTTGCAGAATACTTTTAATCTTTTTTCTACTCCAGAATATCTTTAAGCGCGGTCGAAAGAAAAAAAGAAGTTTCTTTTTATTAAATTATACAGAAAAACTGAATTCCATCCAACAGGAAAGGAATCAATTCGGTGGTTGCCTTGTTTCCTTAACCCTTTAAAAACGTTGCTTTCTTATTTCCAAGGAAGCTTTCGGCTAGGTGACATAACGCCGATGGTTCTTCTTAGGGTCCCGTTTGTGCTTAAAATAATTGCTGTTTAATGTGATAAGCACTCTCATTATCTCTTAGTTACGTTGGTTAAACTCAGATGAAGTTGATGATACCAGTTTCATAGATTTTTTGAAATAATCCTTAAGTATTTTCAACCGTGTTCTGGTGATAACTAACCATCGGCAATTTAGTCGATAGTTCACAATGCGCGATATGGAACCTTAAGTCCTCAACCATTTAAAGCTGGAAACTCTCCATATTTTCTCACAGTATTTGTGTGACGTTAAACCCAACCAAACCATAAAACATCGATCAGAACTGTCATGTTAAACTTGATAAAAGTCTTTACTTTTTTATAATTTGCCCCTGTTTGAAAATTACATATTTTAATATGAAGGCATTAATTTGTACTATAAGGCCGCCAATCCAAATGAAATATCAAAGAGTAATGTATTAATATATAATACATATGTATAAGTATTTCAACATTTATTGTTACATTTGCAAGTACGTTATATGTTAATACAAAGGCAATGGTAAATTAAACATTTTATGAAAAATATGGATTCAAATCAAAATCAGATTGATAAAACGTATAATAAATCTATTCCTATATCAATAGAAGGATACATTTAACACCAAGAAACATAATGTTATATCAAATAAAAATACAACAAATCTAGATATCAACAAAGCAAGCTAATGTATCAATATCGATTCAATCTTTTTTTATATCAACACATACAACAATCGTAAAATGTATGAGTGATTGACGAAAGTTTTCTTAGTTTTGCTAAGTTTACGATATTGTAACATAATAGCAATAAATAGTTCACTATTGTTTCTGGGTTGTTACGTTGCTCTCTTTATAAAAATGTTTTGTTGTTGTTGTTTAGTGTTGTTTAAGAGTTTTTGCCGTAAGCTATTTTTGTCGCTATCATATTCCAGTTGCAAAAGATTAAATACTGGTTTGATGCGTATTTGATAATTCGTTTGTTTATTTGTTCGTTTGTTCATAATTAATGATTCATGACTAGCAATTGTAAACTCTGATTTATCATGAATACTTTGCCTAATGAAAGTGGACGGACATTAATGCACATTGATTAGCAGATAATGCGCAGACTCCTGGCTTTAAACAATCACTACCCATGTTTGAAAACACCGTGTCAAAAAGAAACTCACCCCCTTATTCCCGACTGTGCCCAAGAAATATAAAAGCTTATGTGCTCGGTGGGTTCTTTTAGGCAAAAAAAGTATAATCGTCGACTTCAATTCATTTGCCTCTACCACTATGACTTCAAATCCCGCCAGGGACGTTGAATTCTATAAGATGAGAAAATCACCCGGCTAACTCGAGGAACGTCAGTGATTTAATATAATGCACGACGAGGGACTTGTAGTCTTCCTGAATGACTAAAGCAGGGAAGTCGCCATATATGACTTATATAGTATCTGTTTGACTTTAGAGCCAAAAATATCAAACCTATTGTATTCGGCATGGAGACCATTTCGCGTCTCCTACACTGCACTTAAACCAAATACACATCCTTTACCATGAATCGGTCCCAAATTGTTAAAAAAACGTTGAGATATGCTTTAAATGTCAATGCTTGTTGTTATTTGCGGATACATCCGCCTGTAACATCCAAGCAAATCACACTAATGTAAGTTAAATGAAACCTATATTCCTCATGACATTTAGCCTGTAATTGTGTGGGTCATATTTAACGCGATATTTAACCTGGCGTTTGTTAAAAAAATCGTGATTCCTGTTCCCAGTTTTCATGTAAACATGTTAATCTGAACATTGACAGGTCAGGACAAGTTAACTATGTTTCAGTTTACAAATTAGATAAAATGTGTTAATTTAGTTCATTAATAACTTCTTATTCATTCTCAATAAGTCCATCATTTTTTCAATTTTAGATGGAGCTTATGCCAATTAAGTCAAAGTTTGCCATTATCAATAGTTTTGACGGAAAAGCACAGATGATGCAAATCGTCAGTTTGTATTCCATCTTTAATGCGTTGATGTTATAATTTAGGAATAGAAAACAATGATGACTTTTCACCATTTATTTTTGTATGGTTTGTTGCGTACACCGACTTAGTATTAGAAGCCCCATATGGCGCGTTCCAGCTCTCTACTGGACATGTAGTTATAAGACATCGCTGCCTTCCGTGCTTATTTCAATTTCAACACGAATAGCACCTGATAAGAACTACCGATGTTCCGTAATTCCTGTCGGGATTCGAACCAACAGCGGTAAGGGACAAGTGGTTTGTAGTCAGAGACGTTAACCACTCAGCCATGTACGCCCCAGAGACAAGATGAAAAACAAGTAACCTTGATGAAATGCTCTCAGGCAACACTGTTTTACATTCGCTTTGACATTTGTTTGTAAGCTAAAACAAGACACTCGCGATTATATAACATTTTTCGATATCATCTAAAATAGGACAATAAACGTGATAGATAAAAGAATAGTGAAAAAAGACAAAAATTACGGAACAAATTCAATAATCTGATAATAGTTAATTTTACATTATTCAGTCTTAATCTGTAAGAGATATGGATAACAAATACTAGGCTTTTGTAGGTATTCACATTTAAGCTGTAGTAATTATCAGTGCTGCAAATTCATAGGGTAAAATGACACCGAAGTGGTCTATGTCAGCCAACAGCAAGTTTTATATACCAAATTGTTCGTCTTGATCTGTAGTTTCAGGAATGAATATTCATTTGGTTCAAATCCGATGCGTAGCTTAAAAATCCAAGATGGCGTCGTCAAAGATGGCCGCCAAATCCCTAAATATTCTAGAATATTAGTATGTGCTCATATTTTGTTTTCCCGCTTTTGTATTTCAAGTAAAAATTTTGCACGGAAGATATCATTTAAAGCGTTTTATACGAAGAGATTTATTTTATTGGAGAAACAGATTGCTTTTTGCTTTTTTTATACGTAATTAAGCAAAATAATGCGTAAACATATGGGTTTTGCTATGATACTCTTGTCTAGCTTTAACAGAGAAATATTTTATTACATTATTTGTGTTATTTCCACACCATTGTAATGTACTCATGAGAGTAATGCTTTAATGCATTCATATCATATCTTA